ATTCTCCCCGGACAGTCATACCTGTATATATTTCCATGAAATCAATACAGAAATTATTCATTCATTCCACAAATATTACCTTTGACACCTTATTAGTGGTATCAGAGCCTTTTGATCCTTGAAGCCATGGCCGACCAAACCCTCTCAACCAACGCAAGCAAGACTGCAATCACCACCCCAGCAACCATTGTTACTCCAGCAGCCATAACCCCTACAACTGTTGGAAACCCAAACAACAATCCAACCAATGTCATCACTTTCAATGTCGCTATCCAATTTCCAGTGAAACTCACCACTGATAATTATTCAAGCTGGAGTAGGCAATTTATCTCACTACTCAAAGTCTATCGGCTGTATGATTTTTTATTAGGAACAAGGTCATGTCCTCCAGTAGACCACACTCCAGATTCACCCTATGATGTTTGGGTGAGACAAGATCAGTCCATTCAGCATGCAATCATGACTTCAATTGCTGAATCCATTCACCCGTATGTGGCCAGTACTGAAACCGCCAATGAAGCATGGACTGTGTTGGAAAGACTCTATGCAAATAATTCTCAGACCAGAATTGTGGCACTCAAGGAACGATTGTCGAATCTCAAGTGTGAAGGTAGAGCAATCACTGACTACTTGCGTACGGTCAAAGAGCTTATTGATCGCATTAGCCGTGCAGAGAAAACACCCCTCTCCAATTCAACAATCCAAGTTCACTTTTTGAATGGTCTCGGATCAGAGTACCGAGAGTTCAAAGCCTCCATACGAGCTCGAGATGGACCACCGCTGTCCTTTGAAGATTTGCAGGACAGATTGTTAGCCTATGAAGAGTCCCTGCAGCGAGAAGACTCTCGCCAAGAATTGCCAGCCCCACTCACGGCGCAATTTGCAACTGCCAATTCCAAGTTTAATGGTAGACGTCATAATGCTATGAGCAACCTGCAGCCAACCTCCTTCAATCCTTATGGAGATTCTTCTAATCACTCCACTAGAACTTCCACAGCAAGCCAGCAGCCTTTCAATGGTCCAAATCGTGGCAGTCCAAATTGGCACTTTTATGGTCCAGTAAACCACGGAAATAGAGGCAATCGTGGTAGAGGTGGTCGAAGAAATTCAACCAACAGGTACAATAATCGCAATAGTTTTGCCTGTCAATTATGTAATGGTTTTGGCCATTTTGCTAGGAATTGTCCAGATTTGAGGAATCATGCACATGTGGCACATTTTGCATCTACATCTCGCAAGGCAGACAATGAATGGTGGATTGATTCCGGTGCATCAGATCATGTTACCCCAGACTTGGCTAATCTTGCATTACACTCAGAAGACAGTGGACCAGATGAACTGCTTATTGGAGATGGATCAGGTTTGACTATTTCACACGTGGGACAATCCACAATTTCTACCAAAACAAAACCTCTACTCTTGAAAAATATACTATGTGTTCCAAGTGCTTCCAAAAATTTAATTTCGGTTTCCAAATTATGCCGAAATAATAATGCCTTGGTAGAATTTCATCCTGATTTTTTTGTTGTGAAGGATCGCACCACGGGAGCGACGCTTCTTCGAGGGCACAATCATCATGGCGTGTACCGCCTACCCGTCCAAGATCCACTTAAGCTGGGTCCAATGGCAATGGTTGGTGAAAGAGCATCTATTATGGATTGGCATGCGAGATTGGGTCACCCTTCATCCAAAACTCTAAATAAAATTTTCCATCATGTTAAGTTACCTATTTTCGACCAATCTAGATTTTCTTTATGTGAGTCTTGCTTGTGTGCAAAGAGTCATAAATTACCTTTTGGTGAATCGTCTATTTCTAGCAATAAACCTTTAGAAATAATATATTCTGATGTGTGGGGCCCTGCCTCATTGCCTTCTATGGATGGTTTCCTTTATTACGTAATCTTTGTTGATTTATTTAGTCGTTATGTCTGGCTCTTTCCTATTAAGCGAAAATCTGATGTTGCACCAATCTTTCAAAAATTTCATGTTCTTGTAGAAAATCAACTTGGCACAAAAATTAAATCCTTTTATTCTGATGGTGGAGGTGAGTACATTGCTTTAAAAGCCTACTTTCAAAATAAAGGAATTTCTCACTTCATCAC